TCACGTATATCTGCGGTATCCGTCGCGGTTCAGTCGCCGGCATGCTCACACATTCGGACACGCTTGCATTCGCTGCCTCCGGGCGCCTGGCGCGGTGGGATTCCACCACGCCCTCCCAGCCTCGTGCAGGGGCAGCGGGAGGCCGAACCTCTCCACCTGCAGTCCAGCACCCTCCCGATCGCAGATCCTCCCTCGACTGTCCCTCCCCGCCCCTCTTCCCGACTTGCCGCGGGCACTTGCCGCTAGCGCGCCTTTGCAGCGCGCCTGTGCCCGCAGCGTTCTCTCGTTCCTGGCCGGCTCCCAGCACGAGGCATCTCTCCTGCCTCCCGGTTTTGTGGCGACCGCCGGCAGCAGCCTGACGGCGTGCGCTGAGCTCTGAAGCTGCCCAGAGCGCCCGCCGCTTGAGAGAAGGCAGATCTGTGCCAATGCCTTGTTCTTAGATGGCTCAGCATTCGATCTGGGGGTGGAGCAGGAGGAGGAGGAGCAGGCAGAGGACGAGGAGGAGAAGGATGTCGTGGATGGCGAGAGAAGGAAGATGTGGTGGAGAGGGGGAGGAACCTGTGGAGGGCGGTGGGGCCAGGGTTAGGTTGGAGAGTGAGGCGGATGAGTAGGATATCAGATTTCGCCTTCCTGGTGATTCATGCAAGCGATGTGCACATTTCTCAACAGCTAAACCATGCTAGAGCGGTACATGTGGAAGGTATCCTGTTGTCATGTCGAGGTTCAGCAGTTCTTGTCCAGCTCAGGGAGGCTCTGTGAGGCAGGGCCAGTGCTCCTGTTACCGTATTTACTGTGGCTCAAGCGCAAACATATGTGCTGCCTTTCCTACTGCCACAGATGGTAGCGGGCCGGTGTGAGCCCCGGGGCCGGAGGTACCCTCTCGGCGCGCTATGGCGGCCTGGCTCGCCGCATGCGCTTGCGAGGCTCCAGGGGCGAGCGTTGCCTCCACGAGCTGGCCAGCGTGTGATCTACGGTATAAGATTCGGGAAAGCATGGAAAATATGGGAAGCGGAGGGGAACAGGACCATCCTGAGAAGATGGGAAACGTTGGGAATCCTGGGGGTCTTGTCGGTTGAGTGGTGTGTCCCTGGGCCCCTCCAAAAAAGCCCAAGCACGCCAGCGACGAGGACGGCAAGGACAACAGCCACGCGGTGGTTCCCGCAGCTGGGGAGCGGCCGCCGGGGCGCCCGCGGCAGCAGAGGAGGAGCTGCGGCGGCTCCTCCCTCCTCTTCCCTCCGGCAGCAGCAGCGGCAGCAGGTGCTGCCGGAGGTGCGGGAGCCGGGGTTCAGCAGGAGGGGCACTTGCTGATGCTGCTACCCTTGCATCGTTTCCGTCGTTTTGGGCCTCCTGGGGGGCCCTCGTCGCCACCGCTGGATTCGCTTCGAAATGCTGCTTAGAACGCATCCCAGGAGAGGTCTGGCGGGAGCCGAGGTCGTTCGGGAGCCTCGAGACGGGGGTCAATGCAAACGTGGGTCAGCCAGAGCGCCGGATCTTGCAGGATCCTGCAGAGCCAGGGTTGCATCGACCAGGATCAGCGCGCAGTATCTTGGAGGATCCTGCAGGATTTTGCAGGATCCTGCAAAGCCCGACTGACCTGGACTTGGATTGACCCAGGTCATTAGATCCCCGAGTCATGTCTGAACCGACGGGGGAGCTGGTGCAGGCTATGGTGAGGGAGACCGTAGCGCAGACGCCTGCGGCAGCCCAGCACGACTCGGCAGCAGCATCAACACCGGAGTCGGAACCCGGACTCAAGAAGGACCCTTCGACCATGGACGGCTGGCTCCTGGACAAGAGCAGACGAAGATGACGACGACGATCAGCCCACCAACACGACGGCCAGACCTGCGTCCAGCGATGCGGTACTAGCCGGCGACTGGTGGCGGGTCGGCGACGAGAGGGACTGGTGGAACGGCGACGAAAAGAACTGGTGGAGCTCAGATGCTTGGGGAAGTGGTAACTGGGGCTCGAGCTGGTGGCTGTCGACTCTCAGATCAGGCTTCTCGAAATGCGAGTGCAACGACCCCCCCAGGTGGCCAGGCTTGGCGCACTATTGGCAGTGAAAGAAGCCTATAGTTCCAGCGTTGGGATCGCAACGCTGATGTGCCGTCGTGGTGTCGACACGGGAAGCTGTTGAAGCTGTTAGCCTGGTCCATGCAGGCAGAGTTCGAAGACATCCCCGAGTAAATATCAGGTGGGAAGCGTCGAGGCTGAGTTCGATCCTGGCCCGTCTAGCGCGACGCGACGACCTTCGACGAAGCGAAGGAGACCCTCCAGGCGTCCGTGGACTGACGACAGCGACAGTTTCGAGATGCTGAAAAGAACTGCCGATGGATCTCAAACAAGTTGAAAAGGGTTCATGATGGAAGAAGTGGCGTCTCTCTCTCTCTCTCTCTCTCTATTCGCAAAGAATGCAGAACCTTAGAATCCTGACGCGAGGCAATATAAAGTACAGTTACCTGTCTTGGGTCTTGCGGCAGCTGTACTATATCACTTGTGAACGTCTCTTCCTGGGGCGCGGAATTGGTTTGCGCAGATGCTTTGGAGCGGCGGTTCCAACAGATCTCGACGCTGCAGTCGCCGTCGGATGACTCCAACGAGGCCTTCCAGCAGGTGCCGCAGAACTTCGAAGCGACTAGGCGGAACATCAACGGCACCTTGGAGTCATTCGGGGGAGACACTCACGACGAACGGGATCGCGAGCACGGTTCCTAAATCGGAGGCGTCCGCCGGGCAGCATGGGCAGATGGTAATGCGGATCGGTGCGAGCGTGGCGGGAATTGCAGGGGCCATCCAGATGCAGTCGACGCCTGAGTTTCCGCGCGGCCAGCCCCAGGGAAAGGTTGATCCGGCGACCCCGCCGGCGGCGACACAACCAGCGGTGCCGGAGCTGCCGGCTGGGAATTGCTCAACCCTGTGCCCGAGAAGAGCCAGGGCGGAGGTCCGGCCGAGACTTGGTGAGCATCGCAGCATTGTCCCCGCCGCCTTCATTCATGTCCGCGCCAACCCGAGAGGTCAAGAAAGGGCCCCTGCATCTCGGGAGGATCCTCTTTCATGTGCTTCGGCTGGCCCTGTGCGAAGGCCGGGGACACCTTGGCGTGCCTGCTGACTCCCTCCGGCCTCCGGCCTTTCCTGGGCGGGGACCAGTGTGGCGATGACCACGACGCTTCCCTAGCTAAGCGAAATAGAGAGTCGGTCGCCGCTTTCGCCTCAAGGTACTGCGCGGCGACCGACCCTGGGTGGCTTCCCGAGAACGGCGCGAGGGCTCCAGGGAGGCGCGTCGCGAGCCGATGCGGGACCAGCTTCGCGGAGGTTTTTCATAGCCTCGGCTCGTTCCAGAAATCGTCCGCCGAGGGGCGTCGGTTGGCGACCGCTCCAGCTTCGATCCTCGTCTGGGCTGGGGCCCGCGGCCCCGGATCGATTTGGGAACTCTGGCGCACCCTGCGCCGCGACAGGCCGCGGGTGGACTGGTTGTCCCCTGGGCATCGCGCCTATTCACGCCAGAATGATATCAACGTCGGCCTCATGGGCCCACAACGAAAATAATCATGATCCAGGAAGGTCTCCAGGCCCTGACCGTATGCATGGAGATCGCGATATATCAGGCCAAGCGAGGTCACTCCTTGGCGTTCGAACATCTGTGCCATGCGACGTCGTGGCAAGCTGAGGTGGAGTGGCTGGCGGTTCAGCTCAGGAGCCAGGGAAATCAATATCGACGTGTTATTTCGGGCTCCAGTTGCATCCAGACGGGATGAGGAAGAAGCCGACGGGGGTGCTCGCGAACCACCCGGACCTTCAGGAGGCAATCTGTGGGCGTTTGTGTTTTCGTGGTCGCAGGCATGTGGTGCTGGAGAGTCATGCCCCCAAGAAGTCCTAGGCCTTTCCGCCCAGAATCGTGAGGGCGGTCCCTCGAGCTGTCGTGGATGGGCGGGGCCAGGTGGAGAGCCCTCGTCTGGCGCCCCTTCCCAGCGTGGTCGAGGACTTCAGGGCCCTCCCAGCCCGAGCGCAGCTTCCCAGGATTGTGAGGAAAGGACGCCCTATTGGGAGAAGAAGGACTCCTGTCAGAGAGGACGCGGGTGAGCCATAGACTCGACCTGAAGCCCCAGGACTCGGACCCGCGGCTGCTTCATGTCCGTCCGTTTCCGAGTTTGAAAGCTGCTGATGACCAAACTCCACGTCTACCTGGGGCATCCCGAATGTCGCGGGTTCCTGAGAGTCTTGAGAGCTGGAACAACGAAATCTCGCATTCTGCTGTGGAATAGTGGTCAATTCAGGGGCGCCGAGCGCCAGGGGCGTCGGCGTCTGGACAACCGCCGGAGCAGGGCTCTCCCTCGGCCCTTCTGTTTCAACCGCGTCGTTGAGGCCAATGCGCTGATATTTTCTGTAGAGAAACTCCCTCCCGCAAAGCTGGGTCTCATTTTTCAGAATTTCGGTAGCGATCTCTCAAAAGCTGGCTCAGTTTCTTAACGCCGGCATCTCTATCCCGATCTTCCCCCGGATCTTCCGGATCCCCCCCCAGATCTCCCTCGAGCCCTTCCCCCTAGACCCCCCCCCCCGGTCCCCCCCCAGATCTTCCCCAGATCTATTGGGATTTCCCTCAGATCTTACTCCGGATATTCCTCCAGATCTCCCCCGGATCTTCCTCCAGATCTATCCCGGATCT